CATCATGTTGCATATTATAAATATATTATATTACAAATATATTCGTGAAACAATTTAAAATTTCAGATAATAATTTTGCTTACAAGCAAATATACAGTCTTAGTCTTATCATGTTGTGCTGCAAGAAATACTTGACGAAATCCAACCGCCGCGTAAATCGCAATATGCGTGTGTACAATTGTAAAATCGTAATTGTAAAAAAATAATCCTAATAAATTACAAGCGAGGAGACAAAGTCGAAAAACGAATATAGGTAAAGAGCCGGAGGGAAAAGTGAGAACGGACGAGAACACGATTGAAATAGAGAATCAAGCGTGCGATCGAGCGAATGCCGCGTATTATTGAACGCAGGACGCACTCTATCCGGTAATACGCTCCGTCGCATCCGGCGACGTTATCGGAAACTCGTTGCTCTGCCTCGTCGGAGCCGTATTTAACGGTTGGACCGCGAACGAGTCGCGACGCATTGAGAGACGGCGGGACAACGGCGACGATGCGGAGAGAGTGATGGCCTACAGGGGATGAGAAAGGGGTTCCTTCGATGAAAACGCGCTAACGAGTAAAGCCACGTAACTAGCGAGCGTGTTGTCATGTTTGAATGCACAAGGCGCGGTTGGTTCAATGCACTCGTCGTCGTCGTCGTCGTCGTCGTCGACCCTCTCAATAGCGAATGACGGAATTGCTGACGTGCTTTTTCAACGCGCTTTTACGTCCCTTTGATCCGCATCTAGGTCCTTTCAGCTTCGCCCTCGGATTTGTTCGATTTTGTAACCGCAAACCAAGACAATAGAATGATGTCACGCGTTGTCACTTCTCGCTCATCCCTTTGAATCTATATGCAGTTAATCCCGAATCGTGCTCTCTCTCTCTCTCTCTCTCTATGAAATTCTATTGCAATCTATTGCAGTGTAAATTCCATAACCGGCTTAAAATATATCGCACGTAAATCCTATATCCATTGTCAACAATATATTGCTGCATTAACCTTTTTTTTCTTGATGAATCGGAAAAATGGAGTTACACGGAATTAATTCCCATTTATCATGCAACGATCGGATCGTTCGGCAACGACAGCTCGCGGAATCAGCGTCGGGCAGGGATC